TTTAATTGGCAAAACATTTTTTTATTTTTTAAATTATATATATTTTATATTTTATTATTATTTAAAATTATTATTTAAATTATTATTTTAAAATTATTATTAAATTCTCTTTTAATTTTTATTTTAAAGATTATTATTTTTTGAATTATTATTTTTTTTAATTATTATTTTAGAGTAATCTCTACACCCAACATGGGGCTCGGATGCTCTACAGACTGCCCCAGCCAGGTGCCCCTTAATTGGAAAATTTTAAATGTTCCACACTAGGGAACATATTAGGCAAATTGGGGTGTATCCACTAAGTGGTACAAAGTGTCGCACCGACTTTTCTTCTTTCCCCCGAACCATTTGAGATTAAGTTGCAGACATCATGACTCTTCAGTCCTAAGTATTTCAGGGTAAACTTCCTAAGAACAAGAAGGTTCTCTTATGTAACCACGTTGCAACGTTCAAATTCGAACACCGACCCAACGCCAGTATCTCGTGTTCAGTCCATGCTCACATTTTGACAATTGTCCCAATAACACCCTTTATGGTAATATTATCTTTGCCAAAGTCACACATTTCATGCAGTTGTCATGTCTCTTTATTCCCCTTTAATCTGGACAGTTCTTTAGTCTTTGTGTTTTGTGGTCTTGACATTGTTTGAGAGTCAGGCCCATATTATTATCCCTCAGTAAGAGTTTGTCTGTTTCTTTATGATCCAATTCAGGGGATGCTTTTTTGGCATATGATGTCAGGTCACCCTTATTGATGATGCTGACTTTGATCACATGGTTAAGGTGGTATCCACCAAATTTTCCCACTATAAAGGTTCCTGTGGAGTGTGACTGTGTAATATCCCCCAACAAGCTTTCACCCAGGGGTTTTAGCATCTATTAATGATTCCCGCCTGAGTCAGTTATTGCTATAATAGTTGCACGACAGTTACTTTTCTAACTCTGCTGTCCCTTTAGCATTTATTAGTTGGTACTCTACTGTAAAGAAGAGCCATTCCTCTATTTGTTTGTTTGCAAGATTGTTTTTTTAGTATCATTCTGGACTCACGGATCGTTTTTTTCCAATGTCATAATTCACTACTGTCATTATTCATTTTGATTTCAAATGGCTCTAACTTTGGCCATTGGAAGCCCTATCAAGCTGGCCCTGTGTCCCTCCTGACCTGTCTCCATCATTCTTTCTGCACCTCCTTGCTTTCAGCTGGCACAAGCTGTTCCTGAGTATCTTTCACTTGCCCTGCCTCTCCCGGAGTGAGCCATTACTCCAAGGAGCTCTGGACAATGGTGTTTAGAAACTAATATATGGACACAAGGAATGCTCATGGCTCTTGGAGTGGCCCTATTGCCCAGGCTTTTTCAGCAGGCAGATCTAGGAAGTAGATTTCAATTGACAGAGCTCTGATTCCAATCCACAGAGTTCTGCCTTGCCGCCCCTCCCTCCATATTTGTAACACCCTACTCCAAAGGAGAATGAATATACCATAGTATATTCATCAATTTACTTGATCCTACAATACACACACAATATTTTCAGAATTGCTACCCCGGACCACTGGCAACTAAGTGAAGTTCAAAATTTCTTTGTAGTTTTGTTTGCTTGTTTACACACAGAAGGTGTACAAAGATTTGTGTTCAAAAGTAATCTGGGTTTACTTCTCCTGCAGTTAATTTACTATAGCATTTAGTTCATTAGTTTACTTCTGTTTGTATTCAATTTTAGTTTTCTCTTCCCCCTTCTTTGTTGATTTAATTTTACTTTACTTTACTTTACTGAATATTAAAACATCCATGTTTCTACAAGTCAAAACTACCCCAAAAAAGTACGCTTGAATACATGTCATTCCCCTCAGTTTCTCCCCATTCCCACCCATCCACTCTAAGTAACCAATTTATTAGTTTCTAGTTGATTCTTCCTGAGTTTTCTTTCTTAGCAAAAATAAGCAGATCCTTGAATATTTTATTTCTCCTCATTTTACACAAAAAGTTAGCATAATATATGTATTTTGTATTTAACTTTTTTCACTTATCAATGTATCCTAGAAATCACTCCATATCAGCTCATAGATCTCTTCCTCACTCTCTTTAACAACCGCATAGTATTTCATTGTATGAACGTGCCAGTTTATTCAACCCCTTGTTTATGTATTGGCACAAAAATTGTCTCCAAGATTTTGTCATTGCAAGTAATGCTGCAATAGGTAACTTTGTACATATATATACTTTCATGTTGGCGTTAAGTGTTTCTCGAGGGAGAGTTTCTAGCTGTGAAACTGCTGGGTCAAAGGGTAAATACACACCAACTTTTGTTAGATGTTGCCAAATTCCCCTGTGCGGGAGTTGTACCGTCTTGCATTCCCACCAGCAATGTATGAGTGCCT